GCAGCGGCTCAGCTGTTACTATATTTGGAGCTATTTTCGTTGATGCAATATATACAATAAGACAATAAGAATGTTTGCGGGAGCGTGACACACAGGTTGCGGGAGTGGGCGGTAATGGTCAGAAATTCAGGGGGAGCGGGCTTAAGAAAACTGTCCCGCTAAAGTCTCTAGGCTGCGCGTCAACACACACGTTGTTGTTTTTTCGCGCTCCCCCATCTCCACCCCCAATCATTAGTGCCGCTTGTTCGGTCTTTGACAGATCATTTAGGACAATTTTTTAAATAGCGCCATAAACAAAATTTATTTCAAATTTAATTCAAGCACTTTCAAGGACCTATGTTTGTTTTCAAGTACTTTCCAGGCCTTGAATCCGTATGTCTGAAATTCAAGTACTTTCAAGAAGCGTGGGAACCCTGTTAGAAAAACACAATATTTAGGGTTTAAGATATTTCAAGAACAAATAACAATAATAATGCAGTTTTATATTCATCACACTTTTTAACCTTTTTTTCTTGCTAATTTCACAACTGATGTACAGAACTGTCACATCTGTAGCAAAGAGCAAGGATACATATTATACATATTTTAAAACATTTATTTTAAAAAACACCTTTTTAATTTGTCAAAAATGTCATTTTTATTCATGTAAAAATCTGTCTCCACCTAGAGATCATATGAAGTGCTGCAAATGTCCTCTGATTGGTGGAACAAAGTTTTCTAGCCACTTGAACATGTTAATTTAATATAAAACAATACTGACAATTTGCCAAATATCAATCAAGATCATACACATTTTGCGTACATGTTCAATGCAACCATTTCTTGATAACTAAAAAGAAAAAATAAGAACTAAAACACACTTTACAGAGAATAAGCACTGCTCTTGGCCATAAGTTGACAAAAACAACAGCAAAAAAATTTAAAAATTAAAAATAACAAGAAAATACATTGCACTACAGTACAGTACATTTGTAACAATTTTGTTTAGTCAAGTTCTTAATGACTTGTTACAGTAAAACTACAATAGTAGTATTGTATTAAATCTAATCTTTATATTAAAAAAGTACAACAGAGTTATTGAAATATCTATTACAGTCTGTTTCCAGGCAGTTTACCTAAGCAGGGTGTAAGGTCAGAATACTTAATTTAACAATACTATTTTCCCCTTTAAATCTCCATATTTAAATCTGTCAGGCACAAAAATGAGTCACTGTCTTTTTTTATTTAAAAAATAGAAATTAGAAACAAAACAGCTAACAGCATCACCGTCGAAAAGTCAGGGCCCTCTGTGGACACGATGTGTATATATTTTCCTGCT